ATGTGCCGCCAGAGCCAGAGCCACAGCCACAGCCAGAACCACTACAAGTAGAGAGCCTCAAGCTGATGCCGCAGCCACAGCCAGGTGATGGTGATTCATGGCAATTGCATGCGGTAAAGAGCTGCACAAAATTTCTTGTTGTTGTTGTTGTCGCTGTTGCGGTTGCTGTGGCCTCTGCTCAGAGTATGCCAGAGTATGTATGTGTGTCTGTTTATGTGACTGACTCCGTCTGCATGGGAAAAGATTATGTTTTCATTCGTTAACGGATGTATCTAATGAGAGCTAACTGGCCAAAATATGGCATTACATCCACCCCGCTGAGCGGTAATATTATTGTACAATAGCTCTAGCAATTGCTTACGTAACAAACAATAAGAGTATCAAATGATTTTTAATACCTGGAAATAAATGAAAAAAACTGTGTCTATAAAGTAAGTGTAAATTTCACATTAGCTGTGACTGACGTATTAAATGAGTTTTGTTTCGTCAATAAGATCAGCTGTTCTTATTAAAAGTATTGATGTATATAAGCTCCAGTCGATAGCAGCCAATATATTATTGAGTGTGCTCTTAACGTCTTCTTAAATAACATTTTTCACCCCATGGCCTATGGCTTTGGGGTGAAACATGTTGATCAGTGTTAGTAAACATACATTAATTAGGTTATCCAAATGCTTAATAGCAGGGCTTAAACAGTATATAATAAATGTACTCTCAACTAATAATATGTATATTGAAATATTTACTCACTCCCTGAGAAAAAGCTTAGGGAGCAACTGATCAACTGTGGGTGGTTGAGTTAAATGAATCAAAAAGTCTTCATCTATTGTTAGTGGTATGTAAGCGAGAGTCGTGTTTGCTTAACACATCAATTGCATTCAAGAGTTGAGTGTGTGGATGTGTATGTGAATGCGCATTGAGTTTCCCAGTTATGTTGCTCACTTACCGACTCTCATTGTGCGAACGTCAATCGTATCGCTCCCTAAATGCTGTTCGTTAATAGAGCGCCACACGAATAGTTCAACTCTAGGCGCTGAACAGAATACAAAAACGAACTGAAGTGTTGCTCAGAGCGAAATTGCGTGAGTGTGATTTTTTTTGGGTTCTTTTAGCAAAGAGTAAGGAATCAAGCGCTCAATTATAATTTGCAAATTATGTAATTGCACTGTTAACTAACATTTTTCACCCTACTTATTAATTGAATGTTGCTTTACAATAAATTAAAATGTTTATATAT